GTGTAATTGTGTGTGAGTGTCTTTATGTGAGTGATTGTGTGTGTGAGTGTGACACAGTTAGTAGGTGTGTGTGAGTGTATGTCTGTGTGAGTGTGTATGTAACAGAGTGTGTGTGTGTGTGTGTGTGAGTGTGTGAGTGTGTTGCTCTGGCCCCCGTGTCCTGGGAAGTATCCTCTTTGGAGCCCACCACCCTTGTATTGCAGACATGACGTGGAGATGCGGGCCCTGGGTGGGCAGTTGAAGTTGATCACAGTGGGGAACTCAGGCCCCCCCCCCCCCCCCCCCGAGCTCCTGGCTGCTGAGAGAGTCAGCTGGGCCCTTCTTGTGACAGCCATGGAGGGGCACACTGGGTTGTTGTTGGCTGACAGAGAGAAATGGCCCTTCCTGAGCCACTGAGCTTTCTGACTCGGTTCACACACCTGCACAGGGAGAGCTTATGCCAAGGGACCCCGCCAAGGCTGAGTGGGCGCCTGGGTTTCGGGGTGCTCCACGCACACACCTGGCCTGCCCTTCCCACCCCCTCGCCTCTGCCCTCATGGGCTCGCCTTGTCTGTGGAAGACTTGCCCACCTTTATCATCATCGTTATTTTGTGATGACTTTCCTGGTTCTTGTTTAAAAACAAGTTTTTATTGGATTTTTTTCAAGCTATAAAAGTTACACCTGCCAATAGGAATGTTAGTCTCTTACATTGTTGTTACAGGCTGAGAACTGTTATGATTAAAAGTCACATTTAAGGAGGTCTGAACTGAGCGCTTCAAGGCCTATCCTTGACCTGCAAAGCACTATGAATGGATTCTGTCGTGCCCATTTTACAGATGAGGCGCTTGAGGCTCTGAGAGAGCTAGGCTGCTGCAGGCCTGGGGTCTGGCGGAACTGGGACCCCTGTGCTCCTCAACAGGAAGCTGGGAGCCTGAGGCTGGAGGGCAAGTTCTCTCTGTCCCACTACCTTTTCCGCTACAGCACTTGGGCTGATCAGTGCCAGGAGGAGGGAGAGTGGGTGAGAGAATGTGGAAGGTAGCCAAAACCCGCACACACCCTCAGACGTCTCTGCCCTGGCCTCTCTGTAGCTCCCAGCAGCAACCGGCCCCCTCCAGCTAGCCTGGGTCTCAGCTCCTGGGCGCAGGGCGGGGTGCTCTGTGGAGCCCTGGGAGCAGTGGTCAGAGTCAGGGGCAGGAGTGGGTCAGCAGGCTGAGCTGAACCCCCAGGGCCTCGGTCTGGCTGCGTGACCTCAGGGGAGCCCCGCACCCTCTTTGGCTGAGTCCCCTTCGTGGTTGTGAGCCTTGGTCTTGGAGTTCCCGAATCCATGGAGTGTGGTGTCTCCGGAGGCTCCGGGAGGAAGTGAGAAGAGCTGGTGTGGCAGGTGGGGAGGCGGGAGAGGGGCGCCCGAGGCCTCGGGGACCACCCCAGACACCCACAGTGGGAATTCAAGCTGTAACATCCCGGTGGCAGCCCCAGGGAGACAGCCAACCCCTGCAGGGAGGCAGGAAAGGAAAGTGGGGTGCAGAGTAGCTTTTGTAGGGAGCGGGCTGGCAAGGTCCTCCTCCTCCTCCTCCAGCAACATTCGGCCAGAGAGGGAGACCCTGTCCAGGGCGTGTCCCCTACCAGCAGTTTGTCCGTGGAGGGGCTGGGCCCCCTGCCCTCCCCCGCCTCTCAGGTCCGTGGTCCTCATCCTCGGCCTTCCAGTGGCACTTCTGGGCAGTTCCTCCGAAGCTGTTTGAGGACATTTCTCAAGGATGTGCTTGGGGCTACCTCAGCCAAGAGGCCACAGTCACCTCCACAGCCTCCCCTTCCCAGCGTTCCCTGCTGCCTAACTCGGGTGAGCGCCCAGCTTCCTAGCGATGCCACCTCTTACCTTACTCCCGTGGGGAATGCCCCTGCCACCACCCCTTACCCAGCCTTTGCCCATCCTGTGGGGCCTGGTCCAGAGCAGGCCCTCAGGAGCCATTTGGGGGATGGACTCCCCTCCCCAGCACCTGCTGTGCCAGCCCCGGGGCCGTCAAAAGCCCACCCGCAGGGTTTGCGGCCAGTCCGCAGGCACCTCTCGCACATCCCCAGCCACTTGGCTCCCGGTTGGGAGAGAAAGGCTGGGGCCTGAGAGACCCCACGCTCTTCCATCTGTTTGGTTCTAGAATTTTAGGCAGCAAAGGGTTCACCTAAAAAAGAGGCAGGTCAAGAAAATAAAGTAAGAATAAAAACAAGGCAGATTGTCTTGAGCTTGGGTAGTGAGCACGTCTGTGATTGTGGGGTGAGGGGTGGGGCCCGGGGCTGTGCAGTCTGTTTGGGGGTGCAGGGCGCAGGGGGCTGCCTCCTCTTTTCCTGCTCCAGTGAGTGAGGCCTCCGTGGAAGTGCTGGTACCTTTCCTCTCTCCACCCTCTGCCTGGTGTCGGCTCCCCTCTCCCCCGGCCTCTTGCCCTTCACTCCCGGCCCCCCTGACCCCCTCCCCCCCGCCCGTGGACAACGTGGGGGTTTAAAATGGACCTCACCCTCGCCGCCCGGCTCGCCCTGGCCGCTCTCGGCCGGATGTTTCAGGTCTGCCGCCTCACTTCGCCTCCTGGCTCTGTCTGGGTCACCTCCTCCGGGCGGTCATTTCCTCGGCCTCTGCCAGCTTCCTCTCCGGCCCTCAACCCCAGCCACGTGGGCCTCCTTCACCTGGCTGGCCGGCCCTTCCTGCCCGTCTCCCCGGCCGGCCCTCTGCACGCCGCCTGGACGGTGTCTGGCCTTAGCTGACCGGGAGCTGGGACCCGGGTCCAGCTTCCTCCTGGACTTTGCTCCCCGAGGTCAGGGCGGATCCCGGCGCTTCTAGAAATGACGCTGTTTGAGGCTGGTGCACCAGGCTGGGCCACACTCCCGAGGACATGGCTGAGGGACCCGCGAGGTGGGAGGGCCCGCACCTACCCATCCTGCACCTGGGAGCGTGCCCGTGGGAGCCAGGCTGCTGGGGGGCGGGGGGCAAACCTCAGACCGAGGCTGTGTGGGCTGATGGCCGAGAACCCCGCTCTGTTCTGGCACCAGGAGCCTCCTCCTCATAAAACGGAGAAACAATAGCGCTGACTCCCTGGGCTCTTCTGGAAGGTTCTTTGGGCTCTTGCCTGTAAAACGTGCCCTCCTCCACCCCCAGCAGCTCGGGTTAACAATCACTGGTAACTGTTATGATGGTGATTACAGGATTTATCAACATGATAGTCGTCCAGGGTCCCATTTTCTCAATTTGGCCCCAGTTCATTACCCATGTCTCCCCCCACCTCACCCTCACACCCGGTCCTGCCTTCTTTTTCAGAACCATTCTCATGGTCTTTGAGAGGGCTCTGGTTGTTTATGGTTTCAGAAAATAGGCATTCAGAGCCAATTCCTCATCCGTTCTCCTTCTGCTCCCCCAAAACAGAACGTGGACAGACAGGATCTCACCCAGGGAGGGGACAGGGCTCCACGGGCTGAGCTCCCCGCAGCATGGAGGGCATGGCTTGCCTGAGACCTCAGGTGGCGCATGCTTTTAGCCTCCTCTCTGACCCCTCCCCCTTGCTGGGCCCCAGGATTACATCCCAGCTACCCGCTGTATGACCTTGTGCCAAAGACTTAACCTTAACCTGTCTGCGTCTCAGTTTCCTCCTCTGTAAAATGGAGGAAACACCCGCCCAGCCCGTGTGGCTCAGTGGTTGAGTAGCGACCATGAACCAGGAAGGAGGTCACGGCTTGATTCCTGGCCAGGGCACATGCCCAGGCTGCCGTCTCAGTCCCCAGTGTAGCAGCTGACCAGTGATTCTCTTTCATCATTGATGTTTCCATCTCTTTCTCCCTTTCCCTTCCTCTCTGATCAATAAAAATGTCAATAAAAATATATTTAAAAAAATAATAAAGTAAAATGGCGTGACCCGGTTCTACCCCCCAGAGCTATGGAGAGGGTTACGTGAACTGCTGTCCTAGCCAGGTGCCCGCTGCCCCCAGAGACCAGCCAGGAGAGGGACAGAGTCACCTCAGCCTCTTTTCCTTTAAGAAAAGGAATCTGAGGCTGCCAGGGGTTAGCAGCGCCTGTTGTGATTGAGTCCAGCCTCTGAGTTGCAGGGGGAAACTGAGGCCCAGAAGGTACAGTGGGCCAGTGCACACGCCCCTGGTCGGGACTCAGCACCAGGAAGTCTTTCCCAAGGAGAAGGCCTTTCTGGCCTCAGTTTCTCCATCTGTCCAGAGGGATGCTCTGGCAGGGCAAATACCGAGTGTCTAACGGCTGCCCGGCCTGCCCGGGGCCACAGGACTCACTTTATCCGTTCAGCAGTCGCTTCACAGAAGAGAGAAGCCAGCGACCAGTGCGGGCAAAAGGCTGTTACCTTGGCGGATGAGTCACTTCGGGAATATTTATTTTTTTATTGTGAAAGGAATCATGCGCGTACGCTAATTAAACGCTACACGTGAACAAAGCAGACGGTGGAGTGGACTCTGCCCTCCTTGTTCCCACACCCCGAGGTCCGGGGCCACAGTCTGCGGTGGCCCTCCCGGCCCCTCCCGGCCCCTCCGGGCGGTTCCGCGCACAGACAGGGCCAGCTCCACGTGCCCTGTGCTCGCCCTGCTCTCCGTGACGGAGTGGGCGCTCCTCCCCGTGGCCGATGCTCAGACCTGAGACCCTCCTCCGCCTTATGCTGTGCCCCGGCTGCCAGCCGCCTCCGAAAGGCCGTCCCGCTTCCAGCACCCCAGCCCGGCCAGGGGCCTGCCCCCGGCATGCGGGTCTCACGGGGAACCCGGACTGCTGGTTTGTCTTTTCGAGTGTCTTGCCTCTGGCTTCCTCGCCGGTCTCTGTCTCGGGTCACTGCCCGACCGTTTCCCTGCTCGGAGGTGCCCCCAGGTGTGGGCAGGAAGCACTCGCTTCTGCCCAGAAACGCACGGCCGGTGAATGCAAACAGTTTCACAGGCAGGAATTTGGGGGTGTGGACGCCCCTCCCTGGGGCAGAGTCTCTGCTGTATGCAAGGAACTGTATTATGACCTCACGTTCCTGTCGTCCTTCCCTTTCAGAGAAAACGGGCAAGATCCTGACGGAGTTCCTCCGCTATTATGAGGACCAGTACGGGGTCGCCCTCTTCAACAGCATGCGCCACGAGATCGAGGCCCCCGGGGGCCCGCAGGCCCAGCTGCTCTCGCGGAAGGTGAGGCCCCAGCTGCCGTGGGTCGGGGCGGTGGGGGGGGGCTCTGACATCGCTCACCACGCAGTCTCCAGCAAGGGGCTGCTTCTCTGGGCCTCAGCCGCCCGTGGCCGCCATGAGGGGCTGCTCATGGGCAGATGAGCGGGAGGTGGGGTCCAGGCCCCTTGGTCACTGTGGGGGGTTCCCCCAGCGCTGCCCCTCCTGCACAGATAGGCCTGGGGTCCAGCCAGATCCTTCTCCGACAGCCTCACTTCCTGGGTCCTCAGTTTACGCCTCTGTAAAATGGGATCAGCACGCCTCCTGCACAGGATGCTGTGAGGGCTAAAGATCTGAGTCAGCGGGTGCCTGGAGCAGGGCCGGTGTTTGGTGGCGCTGGCTGACACTGTTGTCATCCCCGGCTCCCGCTAGCAGTGGGGTTCCGTTTGTCCGGGACGTGTTTGTCCAGCGGGGGGACTGGAAGCCCCTTTGGAGGTGCAGGGGCCACTGCCACAGAGGAGGGATGGAGACTGAACCCCGAGGTCTGGTGGGAAAGAACTCGGGAGGACCTGGGTTCAAATTCTCTTGGTTCCACCGCCAAGGGCCAGTCTTCTCATCGGACTGTGGGTTCCTCCTGCGCAGGGCTGAGTGAGGATTCAGAGAGGACAGACGCAGGTGTTTGGGGGCTGTGGGGTTACTAAGGGGGTGTGAGTCCTGTCCTGCTGGGTGACCTCAGACACGGGGCTTCACCTGCTGAGCCTCGGTTTGTCTGTCTGTGAAATGGCATTCAGACAGAGGAGTCACGGGCCAGAGGGCTCCGGGCAGCTTTGTGGGGGGTGGGATTTCATGGGGCTTAGGCATGGATACAGGCATTGGGGTGGGGTGGGGGCAGGGGAGGCAGCAGAGCAGACAGAAAAGGTTCGGAAGGCCTGACACCGGGATTTTTATTTTATTTCATCCCCGACCTCCCCAAATGAGGGACTGAGAATTGTGCCCATCTACCTTGAGGCCAGTGGGGTGGGAGCTGGTGTCACCAGCCTGGCCTTCGGGAGTCATGGCTCTCTGGTGTCTTCTCAGCCGGAGGAACAGCTGGAGGCATTAGCTCGGGCTGGGAGCGCGGCTGGGACTAGGGATTGATTACCTGAGAGGGACCGGGCACACCGGCTGTCAGGTCAGAGGCTGGGCCGTGCTGCCCTGGCTGGCCCCGGAGTCATTGACAAACACTCCCGGAGACAGTCAACAGCTGTCACACAGGCAAGGGGGTGCCATCACAGGGTGAACCCAGACAGTGGGGGCCTGGCCTCAGCCGAGAACCTGATGGGAAAAGGAATATCAGGCACTGGCACCTGCAGAGGCCCAGAGTGAGCCATCGAATGGCTTGCCCAGGATGGCGGAGGCGGGACTCTGAGCCAGGTTCCAGTTCCGGGCTTAGGGCTCTCTTTCTGCCTCGTCGCCCAGCCTGGAGGGGGCGGAGGGGAGGTCAGGACTGTGTGTCAGAGCATCACACGTGCCTTTGACTTTGGAACCAGCCAGGGCTGTTCTCCTAGCGTCATGGCAACCTCCCACTTTCTGACAACAAGGGCAGAGGCACCAGCGGGGCCTGGGGTCTAGCAGGTGCACGCCTGGGTGACGGGAAAGGAGGCAGGTGAGCTACTCCGCATGGGCAGAGCTGGAATGGCCCCTGTTTGGAAAGAAATGTCCCTGGGATCCAGGTCCCAATAACTGAGGACGGAAGTGGGGGCTGGCAGACAGCACCAGCGTTTACTCTGTGTGAGCGGTGCCCTCGGCACTCACAGGGGCAGAGCCACTGTAGGAAAACGGAATTAACCCGGAAGCAGGAAGAGTAAAAGGAACCATCCACAATCCCTGGGAAGCATTTGTCACTCAGGAAGTTGGCCATCAGGATGTGAGGTCGTGATAGTGATGTTACAGGAATAGAAATAACAGTATTAATCGTCGTCGGCATCATCATCACATTGTTCTGTTAGCAAAAAAAAAACCAAAAAACCCAACATTGAAACCTGTAAAGAATTTTAGTGAATTTATTTGAGCCAAACAGTCGACATACGCTGGGCAGAACCTCAATAAATTGAGATAATGCTCCGAAGAGTGGCGGGTTACATTTCTACTTACACATTGCAATCAAAGGGGGGACATAGGTGGGTTACATGAAATTCATTGCTGATGGATTAAGGAGTCTGGAGAAAGCAAAGCGGTGGGAAACCCATGGGATGGGATAAAAAGTAAAATGATGGACGCTTACTTAGGTGGGTGCAGGAACAATTAACCTGATAAAGAAGGAAGTTGAGGCATCTGTCCTGGCGCCCACCACATTGGGCTGTGCCCCAGGGGCTCCAGAAAAAGGGAAGTTACAAGTTACCCAGACATCTCACAGATATGTTATCTTAGAGGCCAAAAAGCAAATGGGCTCAGCAAAGAAGATCTAAATTGATATTTGTCAGGGAAAATATCGGCCTGGGACTTGACTACCCACTATCACCGTTCGTAGTTAAAATATTTAATTTTCAGACCATCTTTTGTGGTTATTTTAGGTCTGAGTTTGCAAGACTGCCACGCAGGCCTCCCCTGAGCTTGTCAGGTCAGCATGTGGCTCCTTTCGTTCACAGTCCTTATAAGAAACAATAATAAGCTAATAATAAAATAGGAATAATAAAATCAGCATAATAAAACAGTGGCAGGTGCGTTAAGGGGGCAGGTGCGTCCAGCTGCGGAGGCTGAGGCGCGGGGAGGTGCCGTGGCGGGTGCAGGCTGCCCCTGCGTGGGCGGTGGGGCTGGGGCTGGAACTGGGGCTGTTGGAAAGGGTCTGTGCGCTGACCATTCACCGCCCCCGAAGAGTCCCTCCGTGGCATTGGGGAGCTTTGCAGAATCCCAAGTATTTTGCTTGGGCAGCCGGTTCTCTTTCATTTCCTGCGGACCTTCCAATGGAAACACGCCGCTGCCATTTGAAAGTCTTAAAAATAAAACCCAACCCACAACCAACCACCTGTTCTTGGCTGCCTGGGATCTGGGGGTGGACTTGAGGGGTGGGGGTGGGGGTGAGGGCGGGAGGCTGAGCCCCAACTGTAAGGTGACCAGATGTCCTGCCTTTTAACAATTTGTCCCGTGTCCTGCAGCGTTTTAAAAAAGTCCCGATTTTACAACTTTTTTAAAACGCCGAGGCACGCGGGACAAATCGTTAAAAATCGGGACGTCTGGTCACCTTACCCAACTGCCCCAGCCTCCCACTGCCCCCGAGTCCTGCTCCTGTCCTGAGCGGAGGCCTGGGGCCTGCAGGGTCTCAGCAGGGTGTCCGGAGGGCTCTCCTTCTAGAAGACCTGGGGTTTGGGAGGTGGGATGAGGGTGGCTCTGGTCTAAATATAGCCCACTGACCAGCAGCCTGTGACCTGGGCAGAGCCCGCGTGTGGGGTGGTGGGCAGGGGGAATCTTTTTCTTTTCCTGTAAATATTTTTATCCCTGGGTAGGAAGCAGTGCTCAGGGTCCTATTGTTCAAGCACAATGGGCCCTCCTTTTCCAAGAGGGTTTTGGCATTTCCCCTCGAAGAGTGGCAGGGAGGCTGCTGGGAAGAGGGGGCTGCTGGGAAGCTGGGTGTGAAGAACGGGCCTGGGGGCGGCTTGGGGGGCCCCCACCCGGCTGCAGCTGCAGGGCCGCCCGAGGCAGAGCCGGGAAGCGAGGGCCAGGCACCCTGAAATAACGCTTCTCCCATGATTCCACCTGGCCCATGTTGCTCCGGCAAAGGGCACCATGTTCGTGGAACAGGTAGAAGCTGCCCAGAAAGCTCCTCCCCGCCAGGAGTGAGCCTGCTTCCTGGTGGCCTGTGTCTCCTTTCCCGAAACTTCTTGGCGACACTTCCGGGCGCTGGTCTGTTCCGGACGCATTCCCTCACGGGGGCCAGAAGTCAGTCTTGGCTGGGACACTGACGCAGAGGAGGAATCCCAGCAGGGTCACACGTGTACGGTGAGCTGTGCGCAGACCCGCCCGGTGCCAGCAGGTGCAGGCTGCTGTGTGACCTCCAAGTCCCAGAGGAAGTCAGTGCTGTCACCGTCCCATTTCACAGAAGAGCAAGCTGAGGCTCCACGCGGTCATGTGACAGGCCTGAGGTCACTCTGGGTCAGGGGCAGCGTTGAAGTTAGGGCTTTGCAGGCAGGTTTGGGCGTTTCTGCTGCTCACACTGGTCACCCGTCAGGATGCCGGTCAGACGTCGAGTCCTCCAGAATGGGGTCCCCTGCACCCCCACCCAGATTCCTGGAGGCCGTCCCATCAGTCTCCGGTGGGGAGGCTCTCTGGAGGAGAAACGGAGGCCCAGAGCTGGGAAGAGACTTGCCCAGGCACTGGGGCCTTCGCCGGGGGCGTGTCCCCTCTGCATGGTGACTGCCGGGCGGAGGAACCCAGACTCCTCCTGAGGAGCCGGGTCTGCCAGGGCCAGGCCGGCGTGGGGTCCTGCCTGGGCTCTGACCTGTGCTGTGTGGCCTGGGTTCGAGTCCTGGCGTCACTGGACCCGTGCCTGCCCTGAGCCTCACTTTCCTCGTTTGCCACGCGGGCTGGACGCAGCCCTGCCTGGGAGGCCTTCACGGTGAGCGCGGAGGCGCCGGACCAGAAGGACCCACGGCCTCGCCCACCTCACCCCCGCCGCCTCCCGCAGGTGCCGCTGGACGAGCGCATCATCTTCTCGGGGAACCTCTTCCAGTACCAGGAGGACAACAAGAAGTGGAGGAACCGCTTCAGCCTCGTGCCCCACAACTACGGGCTGGTCCTCTACGAGAACAAAGTGGTGAGGCCGCCGCTCCCTCCCCCGGTGCCCGGTGCCCGCACGCAGCCCCCAGCTCCCCTCCAGCCCCAGCCAGGTCTTCTCCCCCTTCTCCTGGGCCCCTCTCCTCCCCAGCTGTCCTCCTCCATGCAAGCCTCCTACCCCCAAATCTGAGCCTCCAGACCGCCACCCTCACCTGCCCGCAGCATCCCCCGTCCCGTCACCAGGGCCAAAGCAGAACCTCAGCCTCCCCCCACCCCCACCTCCACTCTTCCCACTTCTCCATAGGATCCCCTCTAACTTCCGTCCGTCCAGGCATCCAGCTCTGGATACCACACAACTGGCTCACTGGCCCCTACGCTTCCCTCCGAATCTCTCACCTTCTTCCAAATCCCCATTTCCAGGGCCTCCTCCATCTCAGCTGCCTCCACCTCAGCCTGGGCTTCCCGCCGCTCAGCTCCTCCGACTCCCCTCCCAGCCTCGCTCTGCAACAGCCTCTCCCTGGGTGGAGGTCTTATCTTTCCCTTCCCGGTTATCCCCTGCATCTCCCTGCCCTGCAGCCCTGCGACGGAGGGATGTCCCTCCGAGTGTCCCTCTCTTTGCCTTGGGCCCTTGCCGAAGCCCCGCCTGGCTGAGCCAGTCCCAGTGTCTTCTACCAGACACGTCTCCAGAGCAGCCAGGACAGGCTGGACCCCTGTGCGGGGCAAAGCAGGGTCAGGAGCAACCTGTTGCCGCAGGGCAGTGGGTCACAAATGGATAGAATTCCTGGAATGACCTGGAAGGCTTGTTTAAAAAAAAAAACCACAGGTTGCAGGTCCTGCCCCCATTTGACCCAGGCCTGGAATCTCTCTCAAAGTGCATTTCTAGCCAGTTCTCAGGTCTGGACCACACTTGGCCAGTAACCAGTGACCCCCTCACCCCCTGCCCCCAGGCTCCTGGCCTCCCAGGTTTGAGCTCCTCTCAAGAAATGTGCTGCGTACTGACACCTAGTGGCAGGGGGCGGCATGGCAGCCCTGCTGTATGAGCTGCTTCCTGCAGCGAAACCCCTGTTCTCCCGCTGGGAAAGGGAGCGGTGCCCAGGGCTCGGTGGACAGTTCAGGGAGATGGTCAGACACCCTGGCTCCGGAGGCTGACAGCCCAGATTCCTGTCCTAGGCCCCCACGTACCAGCCGTGTGAACTTGTGGCTAATCATGGCGCCCATCTGTTGGATTGTGCCAATCTGTGAAAGGAAGCAGGCGGTGCCCGGAGCACAGGGCCTGGCAGGCAGTGAACCCTCGGCTGGTGGTACCTGCTGACAACAGAGGCAGCGGCCGCAGTAATAATAGTCACCTCAGCCTGCTCACGTCCCGCTGTGCCTGGCACTGTGCTAATCGTTTTATGTGGATGCCCTGCTCGAGGCGGCGGGGTCACCATCCTAGCTTCATGGAGGAAGACCCTGAGGCATGGGAGGGGAGCAGCCTTATCTTCAGCATCACACAGACGGCACTCAGTGGTGCCAGGATTTGCGCCCAAAGCCTGGGTTCAGGTCACTGTACCAGGTTGACCCTCGTCACTGGGTTGGTTAGACTCCTGTGTGTCTCTTCCTCCTCCCGTTCTTCCTCCCCCTCTTCTCCTCCCGCCTTGGGCAGCCACACTGAGGAAGGTCCCGGAGTCAGAGCTGGAGGTGGGATGGGCTTGGGCGTTACTTGCAATTCTCAGGGACCGTCTCTCCTGCCCTCCCCTCAGGCCTATGAGCGGCAGGTGCCACCCCGAGCTGTCATCAACAGTGCGGGCTACAAGATCCTCACCTCCGTGGACCAGTACCTGGAGCTGGTTGGCAATTCCTTACCAGGTAACGGAGCACCCATCCCAGGCCGGAATGCTCTGCACGGGCCCAGGGATTGGGCCCAGGGAGAGGGCAGCCCTGATCCCGGGGCTCCAGGCTCCACGTTTGCAGAAAGACCTGCTGGGCCTGGAGCTGCGGGCAGGTGCCCAGGAGGAACTGAGTCCCAAGAGAGGAGGCCCGAGGCCACCCAGTGAGTCCAGGCTGGGCCCGAGTCCCCTGCTTCCTGAGGCTTGTGATCACAGCTGTGCACGGGGGGGACCTCACTGTCTCTCCTTCCTCTTCCTGAGTCCTTGGCAGACTCAGGGAGAAGATGATCGGGGTGACCCTGCTTTGTAAGCTGCAGAGTCAATACTGCATTTTCAAGGAGTTCTTCTCCGAGTCCTGTGCACCCCACCTTGTCACAGACCCCCAGAAGCCCTACAGGGGTGCGCCTGCCTCTCAGCTGATCCCAGAGAACTAAAGAGGGGAGGATGCTGACCTGGGTTCAGCTTGGGCCCCTACATGGGACTTGGGGCTACAGCGCCATGGCTGAGAGCTCAGCTGGAGTGAGCATTCCTGGATCCCAACCCGCACGCTGTTCTGTTTTTGCTGCGTCTTTTTAGGCCACGCAGCACCGAGAGGCCTGACCGCGGGGTCCCGTGTGGACCCCAGGAGGTCTGTGTGTGCCCCGCCCCACACAGGGACACAGACGGAGCCAGGGCACCAAGAAGAACCGTCATTGTTTCGTTATTAACAACAGGGGCGAGGTCACAGCCCAGGACCACTTATCTCCCTGGATCTCACATATCCATGCGGACAAAATAGGGAGAAAAAATGCCTTTTTATTTGTTCTATCCCCCGCCCCCAGGCCTCCCTTCCCCCCTGGACATTTAAACCACCCCCTGGCCTCCTTGGCTAACATTTGACGGGAAACCCAAGAAGGTAATGCTCGGCCTTTGAACCCGAGGGCTCTGACCCCGTGTTATCTGTGCCTCCCGCCGGGAGCTCAGACCTTCCTCCGAGGGGGTGGATGGCTGCTCCACCAGCTCTCAGAAACGGGTCTGCACTAAGCTGACCAGACGTCCCGCTTTTGGCGGGACAGTCCCGATTTTTAACAATTTGTCCTGCATCCCACGGCGTTTTAAAAAAAGTCCCGATTTTTGGAAAGAATATTTCAAAAAATCGGGACTTTTTTTTTTTTTTTTTTTTTTTTTTAACGCCTCAGGACGCGGGGCAAATTGTTAAAAAAAAAAAAAATCGAGACTGTCCCGCCAAAAGCGGGACGCCTGGTCAGCTTAGTCTACACTAGGGGTGTCGAACTCAATCAGAGAAGGGGCCAAAATCTAAAATCCAGCCTAAATCGCGGGCCGAATGGTTTACTGAACAGTCATAAACTGTCATTGTGATGGAAACGCAGCGGAGTGCAGTGATGACAGCGCGGTGCGGGCCACATTGCAAGGCCTGGCGGGATGGGTTTGGCCCGCGGGCCTTGTGTTTGACACATGTGGTCTACACCGATGCCGGGGCCCCTGTAGCCACGCCGTGGACACAGTAAGAGAGGAGGCTGCCTCCCCGGGACAGGCCCACCCTCCCTGGGCTCAAGGTGACCCTCGGCCTGGAGCTCGCAGAGGGCAGCTGCTCAGAGGGCTGTTTCCACAGGGGTCACACCCAAGTCGGGCGCTGCCCCCATCCTGAAGTGCCCCACGCAGTTCCCGCTCATCCTCTGGCACCCCTCCGCCCGGCACTACTACTTCTGCATGATGACGGAGGCGGAGCAGGAGAAGTGGCAGGCGGTGCTGCAAGACTGCATCCGGCACTGCAACAACGGTGAGCGGGTGTGTGTGTGTGTGTGTGTGTGTGTGTGTGTGTGGCATCGCCTGGGTTACATGCTGAGTGGTGACACCTACTGGCCGAGTGTGTTATGGCACCCCTGCTCTATGAGCTATTCTCTTTCCCTTCCAGGCTTGTAAGAAACCACTGTGTTGCTACCCTTAACCTCCTTCCCTTTTTTTTTTTCCTTTTTTTTTTTTTTCCCCTTTCTTCTCTCTCTCTCTCTTTTTTTAAACCTTCTAACTTGATGAAAAAAATTCTGTGCTGCCCCGGTCAGATGGCTCAGTTTGTTGGAAGGTCGTCCTATACACCAAAAGGTTTTGGGTTCGATTCCCAGTCAGGGCATATACCTAGGTTGTGGGTTTGATCCCCAGTCGGGGCGCATACAGGAGGCAACTGGCCTATGTTGATCTCACATTGATATTTCGAGCTCGCTCGCCCTCTCTCTCTCTCTCTCTCTCTCTCTCTTCCTCTCTTGATCTCTACCTCCCCGTCTCGCTCTCTAAAATCAGTAAACATATATCATCTGTGTAGGATTAAAAAACCCCAAAACAAACAAACAATTCTGTGTTGTTTAGAAAAAGTCTGAACTTGCTCTCAGAGGGGCGTGATTGCTCTGCCCTCGGGCCCAGGATCACAGAATCACAATCCGGCAGATTCTGCCATCTTCTGGCAGCGTGCCCTCAGGAGCCTGACTTACCCCTGCAGCCTCTGAAAATAGGGATAGCGTCCCTCCCCCGCCCCCTGAGGTCAGCGGGGATTCACAGTGAGAACCCACTCCCTGCTTGTAAAAAGCTGTTTCTGTTACATCGTTTTTTTCCTCACACGGATCCCGGGTGCCCTGGGAAGTCCGCTCCTCCCTCAGGGCCTCCGTGGCTGTATCTGTGAAGTGACAACCCCTTGCAGCTCGCCCATTCCTCCAGGGGACATGTCTGTGTCTGGGTGCTAAGGCTGCATGCATCCCGGGAGGAGGATGTGGTCCCCGCGCCCGAGCCGCTGGCAGCCGCGGGGAAGACAGATGCGAAGCAGATGAGAGCAGCGGGGGATGAGTCAGGCACAGCTGTGCTGGGTGCTGGGTGCTGGGTGCCGGGGCGGGAGAGCCCGGGAGCCTGGAGGGAGTGAATGTTGGGGAGCGAGGGGGCGCTCTGTGAGGAGGTGAGGGTCCAGCTGAGACCCGGAGGATGAATGGCCCTCCCCAGAGGGAGGAGCGCTCCAGACAGAGGCAGCCGCTGCGTAAGGGGAGGCCCCGAGGGGAGGCGGCTTAGAGGAGCCTGAACTGGGGACGGGTGACCTGGAATGGGGTTGCCGGGGACGCTGTGGTCGGGAGGGCCTGCGGAATGGGACCAAAAAGGCTGTGATTGTCTTGGGGGGACGGTGGGGCCCTGAGGGAGGAACAGCCCTGTCCTGGTCCCGAGCTGCCTTCCCGGTGGCCCGGCTGTGGGCAGCGGAGGGAGGCACCGGGCCCGCCCCGCCCGCCCCGCGGCCCAGCCCGCCTCGGCCGGGGCCCACACCCGGAGGTGGCCAGACGGTGTGGCACCCGCGCCCCGAGGCGGCAGGCCTGGTGCCTGGGCTCACCCCACTTGTCCTGTGAACTCTCGGAGCCGCCTCTGCCGTCTGGAATCTGCCAGGCCAGCCCCTGCCACCGGCCGGGCCCTGCCGCCCACAATGGGCCTCCTGTTCCCAGGTCCCCCGGGGCTGTGGGGCCGGGACTGGGTGGAGGCATCTGGGCTCTGGCTGCCGGGCCTGGGCACCTTCCCTGCTCCTTCCTCCTCCCCTCCCTCCCCCTCCAGGCTCCTAAGGCCAATGGCCGACCTGCAGGGTGAGTTGGGGACCCCCTCTGCACAGGGTGGGGTTCAGGCCTGGCACATGGTGAGTGGCGAGGGCAGCCCAGGGTGTCTGTGCCCGGGAAGGAGGGCGGCTGCCGAGCTGGGGGCGGGAGGAGGGGTCCTCCTGCGGAAGGTGGGGCAGAGGGCCAGGCCGGGGCAAGCCAGCCTTCCCTCCACCGGGACTGTGGGAAAGGGCTCTGCTTCCTTTCGCTCGGAGGCGGGGCCTGGAGTCTGTGGGGCCTGGAATTGCTCACTGCTCCAGGCTGCCAGGAAGTGGGGGGAGCGGGGGGGAGTGGGGAAGGAGACCGAGCTGGGTGGGAGCCAGCTCATCGCAGGCCCCCCCCCCCCCCCCCACACACACACACTCACACTCACACATCCTGCATTCTTGGAGCAGTTGGGGGTGGCAAGAGGCAGCTGGGGCACAGAGCAGAGCCCTTGGGGTAGGCCTGTGGGCAGAGGTCAAGGCCTCTTCCTGTCAGCTGCCCAGGACAGGAATGCAGCTTCTTTTCTCAGCCTGACCCTGAGGACCCCACAGGCAGGAAGTCTCCGGGTCTGAGCCCTGATGCTGTGTGTTCCTGAGCCGGTTAACGGCCTCTCTGAGCCTCTCTTCCCACTGGGGAAAGGGGCTGAGACCCGCCCTCCTCACGGGATTAGAGGAAGGGATGTGGGGAGGTTTGAGGCCTCAGCCCAAGGTCAGTGTCTTGTGGGCTCTGGCGGCCTGGGTGGCTCACACGGTAGAAATTCATTTTCTCACAGCGCGGGAGCTGCGAGTCTCAGGTCGGGGTGTCAGCAGGTTTGCTTTCTCTCGAGGCCTCTCCCTCGACGGCAGAGGCTGCTGTACCCCGGTCTTCACACGGTCCTCCTGTGTGCCAGCCTTTTCTGAGTCAAAATTCCCCATTTTGTAGGAACACCAGTCAGACTGGGTTAGGGCCCGGCGGGTGACTCCGTTTACCTTCATCACCTCTTTGAAGGCCCTGTCTCCCCGTACAGCCACGCTCTGAAGGGCTGGGGGTTAGGGCCTCCACAGATACGTGTGTGGGGGGACACCCACGTCAGCCCCCAGCAGCCAGGCTCCCGGGAGCGGCGGGAGGAGTGGCCTCACTTCTGTAAACTCGAGCTCGGTGCTCGGCTCGCAGACGAGGGACGTCCTGGGGTCTGGTTGGCCAGAGCCGGGCCGGGAACACTGGCAGCCTCCTTCCCGGGGCCCCAGCCTCAGCCTCACCTTCCTACCGCCTGCAGGTGCCCCTTCCGGGCACGCTGCCCGCTGCCTGTGCAGTGTAAACGCCCTGGCGTGCAAGAGGCTGCATACAATGCAGAGCCTGCACCTTCAGGCAGAACCTGGCTCTGGGAGACCTTGTCCCCCCCGGAGTTTGCGGGGGTGGCTCTCCTGGCAGCACCCACCCTGGGGCTCTGCATGGCTCTGGCCGGAGCACCCTGCTCCCCCTCACTTACTGCTCCTCACGGCAGGCCCCTGAAGCGCAGGGGTGAGGCTTGCCCCGCTGCCGTGCCAGTCCAGGGAGCTGCCCCCGCAGGGTTGAGGGCTGGGCCTCAGTTTCCCCACCGCTGAGCTCCCTCCCAGCTCCGCAGGCGGGGATTCCTGCGGTCAGCCACACGTGGGCCGGGCCTCCCACGCTTTTTCTCTGGGTGACTCAGCCTGCAGTTACCCTCCCCTCGGCTCCAGGGCCGCAGTCGGAGGCGTGTGGCCAGGCTGGCTCTGCGCTGCTTAACCACGCTCTGCCCGAGCCAGACTGTGCAACTTCCTGCAGCTGACGTCCCCGTACACACTCATCCGGGCCGCCACCACTGACAAATAGAGAAATGGTGTTTGTGGGATTTTCCAGTCAGCCCCGGGCACTCAGCGCGGCCGACCCTGGCAGACTGGCAGGAGCAGGCCCGCGCCCCAGTGCCCGTCAGGTGCCTCGCACCCGAGCTGGGCTGGCGCTGGGGCCCGGGCGCCTCCCGGGGGATGCGTGGGGCCAGGCTGGGTCAGGGTTCCGGTGTTCAGAGGGGAAACTGGCCCCCGGGGCTCAGTGACCCGGAGCCGGCTCGGCAGTCCAGGCCCCACGGCACGTTGTGAGGCACCGATGGTCTGTGGCTGCTTCGGGCGAGCGCGGCGGAGCATCCGCCCGCAAAGCCGAGAACGCGTGCCGCGGTCCTGGAGGGGGCG